GCGTTGACGTTTACCTAAAGTAATAATGAAAGAAATTCAGTCTAAAAAAAATTTATTTCTATTATACAACTGGGGTACTCATGTACAGTAAAATATTTTGGGATTTTTTCAGATAGTTCAGAAAAATAGACAAGTACAGAAAAGTATTTACGAAAAAACACATTACATTGTTGTTACGTAAAAATCAGTACAACGTTTATTTGCTAAACATCCTACACATAAACTAATTCGTTTATAAAAATTTAAGGTAAATATTTCATGACGGTAATTGTTCGATAAGATTTTATATAGTTTAAATTCATGTGTAACATGTTTTATTATATAAAAAACGTTGAAATTCGGTGATGCCGGCATGAGGTAATCCATTTTTTCGAAAAGGTATAATTATCGGTGGTTTATTGGCAAAGCCCCGATCGCCTAAGATGAACATGTTTGGTGGTATTGAATTATTAAGACCAACTTGTAGACTGTTAAATATTCTTGAATCATGGTAAGAACCAAAAAATCCACTTTCAAATAAAATTAATTTTCGATCGTTGCTAATTACATAAATACTTGCAAGACAGTGGTATTTGGTCTTGCCACTATAATAGATGCGTTGACGTTTACCTAAAGTAATAATGAAAGAAATTCAGTCTAAAAAAAATTTATTTCTATTATACAACTGGGGTACTCATGTACAGTAAAATATTTTGGGATTTTTTCAGATATTTTTTGAAATAATTGCAATTGCGTAATTCGTAATAGATATGAAAACAAGATTAATTAGAAAAAAAGTTATTGTTTAAAAATTTGAAGGGATCTAACCTGGTCTTTGAATACGCTGACGCGTGCCATCGATTGATTCAACAAAGCGTCCAATTGCTGGATGTCTGGAGAGTTGTTGATCGAATTTAGTCAATGACGGCCATCGTATTTCTGCTTTAAGACTTTCTGCTAAATCTGGTAAAAACCGACGAATGTGTCGACTGATTTGTTTTGGTCTCACACCAAATAGTAGGCTTAGTTGAGGGTAAGTCGGATAACACCTGAGCCAGTGCACAAGTAAGAATAAAAGATTTCGATCAATAATTCGTGTATGAACACGAGTTTCTGTTGAAGACAACCGTTGAATTGCCACGAGTGCGAATTGATGATAAACTTCTTCAAACGTTGTGGGCGTCAAACCTGTCACGAAATTAATTGGAGTTTTTATTGCATCTGCGTACACATTTTTCATTCTTCTGTTTTGAAATTGGTCTGTTGAAAACAATTTTCTATAACGAGAAAACTTTTTAACCAACAATAACGTTTTTCCTGCTGATGCTAACATTTGCGAGCATTGTTCTGAAATTGATATCGTCGATATACATCGAATTCGTTCAATTTCAATTAATTATTTCAATTATTTTTTCAAGTAAAACCGACAAGTTCTGTAGGCTATCTGTAATGATTTCATAAATAACTCTCAAAATTGTATTAATTCGATGAAAAAGATGGGGATAAGGCTGCATAATTATTTGCTGTACAAAAACTAATGTATAAGTAACGTTTGAATCATTATCTAAAACGAGGTAAATAATATACACCACATGATTCACCACATGTTGATAGATACCAATACGTAAATACATCAAAATAACTGCCCTTCGACAAAGTAGGAAAAATATGCTACGCAAAAAAAACGATAGTTGAGAACGCCGATCGCAGTGAATCAGAATTTGAACCGGTTGAATTTTCCTAACCGGAAATTGAGACTGATTATGCCTTTTTATAGACAAATATTTATAAGAAAAAATGCTACTATATGTGGACAGCTGTGTTTTCCATACAGAACTAATAAACGTATGCAACTCAATACGAAAAAGAACATAGAACATTTTTTTAATGAAAAAAAATTCGCGGACTGATTTCTGATGATGTAGGAAACCCTATAGGAAAAAGAATATTGATTGACTCATTAATGAAGAAACAAAGAAATTTTTTCACGCTAATTTTTCGCAGAAATTTTTCCGGACGCATATTTTCGAAATGGGAAAGAAAATAATGAGAGAAAATTTTAACCTGTGTTCATCTATATCCGAAATTCGCTAGTGATATGGCAAATGTAAAATGAATTAATAGATCGTTTTTGGGATCTACTGTCTTTTGCATCTTGGTCGAGGTGATCCAGTTGACATCCCAAACTTTTGTTCTACAGTATTCATATTTCGCTTGTGATTCGAACCGGCAGCAATCGGTCGGTTGAAGTGTGGTTTAAACTGTTAAAAAGCACCGGCAAAAAACCGGCGTTAAGCGAACCGGTCGATCCGGTACCAGTGCGCTGGTCCGGTTCCAACTCTGCAGCAGATAGATAGATAGATAGACAGTGTATAGATTTGAGTCCACAATATGTTTATTTTTTATAATTTTTATCTGATTCGGCGTTATTTTAAAACCCACATGGCCTTAGAATGATTAAAATAGTTTGGATAAGTTTCATCGTGGGTAAAAACCTGTTTTTATTGTAAACGATCAGGAACTTCTACTAAAAACTAAACATTACTATACACTTTCTTAGAATATCAAGACGCCTTTTAGTAATCATAACCAGCAAAATTCATTTTTCTCATTTAGATGGGGTATTCTTGTTTCGTCGACACTAATTTCTTGCTCGTTTCGTCGACACTTTTTTTATCTTGATTCGTCGACAAAATGTTTTTAATCAATTTTTACAATACGTTTTTTTTTGAATACTTAAACTATTGAGCAGGGAAAAATATATGATACAGAGAACGTTGATAAGATCAAAGAAAAGGCTGATATACGTTTATTAAAACATTGTCCTTAGCACAGAAAAAAAAGATTGAGAAAACTGTTGTTGGAAATCCATTGTGCTTAACTGCAAAATCTGGACATTAACGACGCCTCTAGTCCAATACATGTCATTTCTGTTCATCGTTTAAACCATAAAAAGCCATTTTTGGATTGATGATCGAAATAAATCTTTCTTGAATCAAATATCTATCGAGATTTGTTTCACCTAGGTACAGCCTCTCTCTGAGCAGAATATCA